TAAAATACAGGAGTTGGGAATAATCATTGAATTATGAATACGATAGTGGTAAGGAGTGGTCGCTTGTTATGATATTAAAGTGGAGGTGTAGGTCTGTGATTATTGAGATTGAAATTTATTACAAGATTTTCAATACAATATTATATACCACTATCATATTTGGGATATGATGTTAGCAAGTAGAGGTCGTCAACGGTGGTGAGTAGGGGCGGCCTGTGGTGGTCCACGATAATTGGTGGGTACTGCGGTGGAAGTTATTATCGAGTTTTTAGTACAACATTATATATTGCGGATGTGAAAAGATATAAGAGAAATTAATTTTATTGATTAAAAGAGGGGTATAAATATTCATTATAGAATTTAATGGTAAGGAAAGCAATAAAAACAGAATATAGTAGAAAAAGAAATGAATAATAACAAAATATAAGAGACACTTAATCTTTCTAATTAAGGAGAGAAATAAATGTCAAGATCCCTCATATAATTTATAACCCTTTAAATATAGAGTTATAACAAATATGAAATATAATCATTAATATTTTTTAGATCTTTCAACACTCCTCCTCAAGTTAGGTTGTACAGATTGTACATACCTAAGTTGTTACATAATTCTTTAAAGTTGATTCTTGGGAGAGGTTTAGTGAAGATATCTGTTGTTTGTTGTCGGGAAGGAATGTATGCAAGTTCGACGACTCCTCTCTCAATGTTTTCTAAGATGAAGTGTCGTTCGATCTCAAAGTGTTTTGTTCTATCATGGTGTACTGGATTCTTTACAATGTTGATGGTTGTCTGGCTGTCGCATTGTAGTTTGATAGTTTTTTCAGTTAGCGTTAGCATTTAGCATTCTGAGTTCGCTGAGTATTCTTCGAATCCACATTCCTTCGCACATCCCGAGTGCAAGAGCTCTGAATTCAGCTTCAGCGCTGCTTCTTGATACCACAGACTACTTTTTTTCTTCTACAAGTGACTAGGTTTTCCGAAACATAAGTGCAATAGTCGGAAGTCAATCGTCAGTCCGAGACATCCCCTGCCCAGTCTGCGTCTGAAAACACTTCTATACTTTAACCCTTATTCCTTTGAAACAGTAGCCCTTTGTCTGGAGTCATCTTGGGGTATCTCAAAGTTTTGTAGACCGCATTCATATGTTTTTCCATAGGACTGTTCATGAATTGACTAACAACACTAACAGAAAAACCAATGTCGGATCGCGTGTGTGAGAGATAGACGATAGATGAGTCACCCCACGAGTCGCTGATATCTCCCCCTATCCACAGGTGCACTATTTTTCTCAATGTTGTTCTTCTTGTAGGGATCCATTGGAGTATCGGCAGGTTTGCAACCGAGCATACTTGTTTCCTTCAATAGGTACAATGTATGTTTCCGTTGTGACACAATTATTCCTCATTTTGATCGAGCTAGTTCCAAGCCAAGAAAGAACATTGGGTTTCCGAGGTTTTTGATTTCAAATTCCCGAGTGAGAAGCTTTGTCAGATTTGTGAGTTCTTCTTCGTGATTTTCAGTGAAAATGATATCGTCGACGTATACGATTAGAATTGTTATCATCTTTTCGAAAGAGGTTTTCATGAAGAGAGTGATCTGCCTGACACTGAGTATACCGGTGTTTTGTCACAGATTTTGCAAATCTATCGAACCATGCTCGGGGAGATTGTTTGAGGCTGTATAATGATTTTTGGAGTTTGCAGACTTTGTTGTTTGGAAAGGATGCTTCTAGTCTGAGAGGTGCTTCCATGTAAACTTCTTCTTCTAAATCGCCATTTAGGAAAGCATTTTTCACGTCGAGTTGATATAGCTGTCAATCTTCATTTGTCGCAAGTGAGAAAAGAATTCTGACGGTGTTAAGTTTGGTCACGGGGGCAAAGGTTTCTTGGTAATCAATACAGTAGGACTGTGAAAATCTTTTTCTACGAGACGTGCTTTTAATCTCTCAATTGCATCACCTGCCTTGTGTTTGACTTTGAAGCTCCATTTGCAGCTGATTGCTTTCTTTCCCTTTGACAGGTATGAAACAGTCTGGTATGAAACAGTCCATGTACCATTCTTTTGTAGAGCTCTTATCTCTTCATTGATGGCCGCTTTCCATCCCGGGTGTTTGAGAGCTTCATCAATGGTGTTTTGGACTTGTGTATTGTTGAATGCAGTGACATAAGCTCGGTAAGTTGAACATAGTCTTTCATTGGACACAAAGTTGGAGATGTAGGACACAAAGTTGGAGATCAGATGTATCGTGTGTTTGTACCTGAGTGGAGGTCGGATGGACCTAACACCTTTCCTTAAAGTAATTGGAATGTCAAAGTCATAAATCATAGATATAGTAGATTCATGTTCAAGTGTGTTCGTAGTTGAGTGGATTTATGTAGGAGTTGGTTCCAGTTCTGACTCTTAGATTGGTGTTGGATGTGTTGGGTGGTCTATGTGTTTGTTGTGCGTGGGAGGTGGTGCAAGAATGGGTGACGAGTTGGACACTTGAGGACTAGACAGAGATTGATTGTTAGGTATATTTTCATGTGAGTTGGATGAACTTGCTGAATCCAAATCGGGAGATAATGAGTTCGGTTCAAGGGATGAGGACTTGGTGTGTGGTGGTATGAATTTGTTGTCCCCCAAAGATTGATATTCCCTTAAAGTCTCCCTCTGATATTATAATTGGGGTAGATTATAATTGGGGTAGTAAGGCTGATTTTCAAAGAAAGTGGCATCCATAGTGTTGTAGGTTTTTTTTTTGTGAGAGGAGAGTAGCACTTATACCCTTTTTGAAGAGGTGGGTAGCCGAGGAAAATACATTTAGTAGATTTATGGTCAAGTTTGCTACGATTTTGTTAATGAATGTGAATAAAGGAGGAGCAACTAAATACTTTGGTAGGTAGATTTTGGGCAATTGCCTTGGTGTGGGGAAACAATTTGAGAAGGAGTTGGACTGGACTTTGAAATTTGAGGACCCGAGAATGCATCTTGTTGATGAGGTAGGCTACAGTGGATAAAGCGTCACCCCAAAAAATCTTAGGCACATTAGAGGAAAACATGAGACAACAGGCCACCTCGAGAAAGTGGCAGTTCTTGCGTTCGGCGATCTCATTTTGTTGAGGAATTTCGACGCAATAACTAAGATGAAGGATGCCTTTAGAGGAGAGATAAGAGTCGATGATGGAAGCGAAGTACTTATTTGCATTATCAGTATTGAGTGTCTGGATGGAGGTTTGGAATTGTGTTTGAATCATTCAGTAAAATTGTTCAAATTTGTGACCGACTGCAGATTTATCTTTCATAAGAAATAACCACGTTAGTCGAGTATGATTATCAATAAATGAGACAAACCATCGAGTCTCGGTAAAGGTTATAACATAGGATGGGCCCCAAATATCGCTGTGAATGAGTGCAAAGGACCGAGAAGAGGTGTAACCAACACATGGAAATGACGTGCGAGTGTGTTTAGCAAGTTGAAAAAATTCACATTGAAAAGAATGAACATCTTTATTGATAAATAAATTGGATGGACGAGACAAAAATGCCATAACATATTCTCGGAATCTTTATTGACACTAGAATTGAAGACAAAATGATGGGTAGACAAATGTCCACAGTGAGGTCGTGGTGGTGAAGTACCGTTAATGATGTAAAGAGTCGAGCACATCTCAACATTATCAATCGTCGTCCCCGAGTTCTCATCCTGAAATTCACACGCGATAGGGAGAAATTTAGCAATACACCTCAGATCATTAGTCAACTTTTCGATGGATATTAAATTGCAATTTAAAGTAGGAACATGAAGCACGGATCGGAGTAGAATGTTTTGGGTGATGCGCACGGAGCCAAAACCAGCGACTTTGGAGACAGAGCCATCGACAACGCGGATGGTGGAGTTGTCTCCGCATGACATATAGTCATGGAGAAGGGAGGCATCGTTAGTCATGTGATGAGAAGCGCCAGAATCGATGATCCACTGCCTGAGGGATCCTTGATTGACTGTAAAGGCATGGTAAACAAACCTTGCTGCGCAAGCAGGCCGGTGATGGGGCCGGGAACAACGAGATCAGGTGGTTTGTCGATCAGTTTGTGCAGGAAATTGAGTTGCTCTTTGCTGAATGGACTGGGTGCTGGTGCAGAAAGGTCATCGGCAGCGACGGCGCTGTTGGTACGAGGAACGCGATTAGCGATTATACCGGGGCTTCCAATCGGCTGGCTTTCCATGAAGCACCCAACACTTATCTTTATTATGGCCTGGTTTACAGTAATGGTCGCACCAGGGATGACCCTTGCAAGATGGGTTGTCGTTGTGTCGAGGTGGAGTAACCCGAGCTGCAAGGGCGGAGGCGTCAATGGATAGATTGGGCGAGGTGGAGATAGGCCCAAGCATGACTTTCAGGTGGCTTTCTTCACTGCGAACCTCAGAGAAGGCCTCATAATTGCTCGATAGTGGTTTGAAGCCAAACACACGAGAGCGGACATGATTGAGAGAGTTGTTGAGGCCGAGAAGGAATTTGAATATCATTTTTTGCTAGATGATCTGACGGTATAAGTTGAAGTCCGGAGTGCATGACCAGACATGGACTATACTTATCAACCTGCTGCCAGTAACATGAGAGAGCATTAAAATACTGAGTAACAGATTAATCACCTTGGCGAAGATTGTAGAGGATTGACTCGATCTCAAAGAGCTTAGATGTGTTATCAAAGTGAGAGTATCTCTCGAGCAACATCCCAAATACTCTTGGTTGTTTCGTAGAGAACAAAATTTTTGTTGATGTCGTTGGTCATGGAATTGATTAACTACGACATGACCATGTGGTTTTCTGCATTCCATGTCCAGAATTTTGGGTCATCCTTGGTGACATCACCGGTGATATAGTCGTCTTTGCCTCTATCGTAGATAAACATCATGACGGATTGGAACCACTGGAGGTAGTTCTGGTCGTTGAGTTTGTAGTGTTTGTGGCTAGTGATGAGGGAGGATGTGTCATCAATTCCGATTGAAACATGAGCAGATGAGGCGGAGGATATTTCTTGGGAGGAAGATGAAGAAGTCGTCATACCGAAGAAGATTGGTATAACTCTGATACCATGAAAAGATATAAGA